AATACTTTCGGGTCGGCATGCACTTCTGCCAGCCATTAAATTTTACAGAAATATTTTACTATAAATTGAAAATAAGTTTCCAGTATTTATTACATTTTATTTAAGAGTTTTTACATGTAACAAAGGTAACAAAGGCTGAAATTATTACGTTTAGTACATGACATTCGAAGCTTAAGTTCAGGGTGTCACAACTTGAGCCTAAAACACAAATGGGTATCTCAATTCATGATCCTAAACATTTTTCTAGAGTCAAACATACCTTGGTACCCCTACAATGAGTTCATACTAAGAGAAATCTCTGAGCTAAAGAACCAACTATTATGCAAAGCCACAATACATTTTGGGTGCGTTTGGTAATACTATACAGGATTGAGGTAGATAGGATTAAGGTGATAGTATGTTAGAGTCCAGAAACAGCAAACATAAAGTGAAGATGATAGTATGCTTCAAAACCAAAATATTTCCAGTACATACCGGAGAAGGACGAGGAGGGGTGGATTGTGAAGCAACGTATTGTAAAATCTCAAATATTCTACTCTGACCATAACTTGCAGAGAGGAGTCATAAACATATCTTGATCCCTAAAATACATGAAAGTAAAAGAGGCTAGGTTTTGAAGAGAGGATTTCACACATTTGGAGAGAGGATTTCAGGGTTTGGAAATTGAAAATAGGGTTGGGTCGGTTTGAAAAGTTTTAAACCATGAACCGACCAGACCCAACTCATTTTTAAATAAAATTGACCTGACCCGATCGGTTCGGGTTGGTTCGGATCTACGGTTTTGGGTTTATGGGCCCAGCCCTAACTACACTTGAGAAATCTAGTTGAATTAGTCAGTTGACGAATCAAACTTTTTACGTCTCTACAAGTGAAATTGGAATGATAGGATACTTAAAATTGGCCGTGACTTACTTAAATAGGACCGTTTTTTCTTCCAAATTATATTGAACCTTGTTTGGCAATCAGATTTAATAGTTCACTAAAAATTAGTCGTTGTTTAATTAAACTGAACATTTTCTTCTACTAAGTCTCCATTTGTTTCTCATTTTTCATCAATAAAAATGAAAAATATGACCATT